AATTATCAGATTTTTGATGACCACTGCAGTGTAGATTTTCGTTAGTGCAATAATACGGCAAGATCATGGCGCCTAGAAATCGAAAATTGAGGGGATTAGAAGGAAAGAGGTGCAAGTGGCTTTGATCGATTCTCTTCAGTGACTTTCTCTTTTGATAGCCACAGCTTTATAAACAGATTTTGCGCTATTTCTGCCCCATAGTTTAATAAAGGAGGTTCTCACCTAGCATCCAGAATGGCACACGAATCAAGGAATGTGTTTGCAGCTGAATTATTAACGAAAGAGAAAGTCGATGAAGAGAATTGATCAAAGTCACTTATATCCCTTTCCTTCTAACCCCCTCAATTAAGAAAACTTTACTAAAAAATTTCTATGAAAGATAGCATTAAATGTTCTAAATTTGTCCCGAAAATAGGCATTTCAATTACGGATTATAATTTCACAGCAGATGTGGTATTAGCTTTTCATTATTATTGTGTATTATTGCTGAATGAATGAGTGATTTGCTTCACACTTAGAAATAACTAATTTTAACATGTCATGTAATAGTAAGTGCTCCGAGACTGAAAAGTTCGTTGTTCGACGAAAAGTTCGTTTGATTGAGCTATATTTCGCGTCTGTTATGATTCAAATTTATGTCAAAATTCACGCTCGTATATGTCACTCTCAGAGCACCTAAATTTACATGATTTTTTCTAAGTGTGTTGATAGGCTGAAGTGAGGGGCTAGGCTGACATTACATCCCGTAACCCTGCATGTTCATTAGGTATAACAAAAACCAAATCTCGAGCTACTGAACCAGATTTCATTATTTTGGTGTAATCACATTTAATCACCTCCCTTGCATCACTTTGATGCAATTTAGTTGAGGAAATTTGTTGAACAGAACTAATTATTCGAGTATTTTGAATTAATAGCGTGTCGTCTAAAATCTACTCAAAAAGATATGTACCACTTTATCACGCAACGGTTTGTTTTGCCAAAATGATGTCCTACGAGAGGCAGCCAGGCAGTTTCTGATGGATCGGCTGCCTTATAAATTGAAACTTTTTTATCAGCGACCAATTTTTAGAGTGCACATTCTTTTATAATGTACCAATTATGGCATATGAGATTTCAATGGACTTCCCAACCCTATATGAACGATGAATCTTGATTTTGCTATACATTTGATACATGTGTATGTGTTGGGGTAATGTATAACAAATATAAAGCCTGATTTGCGGCAAAAAGATTATTTTAAGCCAAGACGCCACAGCAGCTGAGGGTAACTTGATAACAACCAAACGCTAATTACGTTCATTTCAAAATGATTAACGATCTAATGAATACTTAAAATTACACTAATATTTTCTTATCTTTGCTGACTGAAGCTTTCTACTCAGTCCTTCCATACGTTATAGCTGTTGTTTACATCTCGATTTAGGTATTTCCTTTTCAATGTTGTTCAATCAAACTGTTTTTCGTTTTGTGTCCATCAGTCGATTTTTGATGATCCTATTTAGCAAATTCGCTGATTAATGAAAATGTTCTGCATTAATCTGATCACCTGCAATAATATCCGAATCGCTGCAAGATGGCCAACAGAAAATTATGAAAACCATTCCGATGCCCTTTCCCTATTAGCCCCGGAACGGGTTAATGTACCGCAGAGATTATGCAAAATCGTTCACCTCGTTTCATTCATTTAGCATAATCGATTTAGCTATTTGCTAATACGTACGCATCTATTGAAATCGATCCACCGACAATAGCGCCGCGCCGGTGTGAACGTTTTCCTCGCACCTCTCAATGGCGCGAGGTGCTTTCTCCTACTGTGCCGTCGTTCTCCTTCGCCGAGTCTCCTCCAATCTCCTTAATAAGAGTATAGGTAATATCGATTTTCCATTTGTGCCATTTAAAGCCGCCGCCGCCGCTCGCCCGTATTCATTGTTGGCAGTAGCAGCGTGCGAACGTGATGGCGATGACGATGCTGCGTGAGAGGGGAGAAGAGGTGGGCGGATATTTCACACACCCATTATTACAAGCTCATCTGCCCATACCGCTAACGAACGATTCGGATCGTTCGTTCGTTCGTTCGTTCGTTCAGATGTTCTATCAAAACCGACCGACCCCATAGCAGGAGCGCTTTAATGAAACATAATAAACAAGATAATTGATAAATTATTCAACGAAAGCATTTTCTTAAGTCTTCCTTGAGGAATACTGCTTTCCTGTCCGTTGGCTGCATTAGAGTGTTTCATTGTGAAAAAAATGTTAATTTTTTTATAGGTCACCCTCCAGTTTGATTCATAACCCCAAAATATGAGTCTGTGCATAAAATGGTAAAAATTGATGAAGATTCAGAGGTCGCTCTTACTTTGATTCTAGTTATCCAAATATTGAAAAAAATTAACATGTGGTTGCTATGCCAATGACGAACAAGCCAAATTACATAATTTCGTATAGTAATTCTCAAAAATATCCTTATAAACTTCAAACCATTTGCGCGATCTCTAAACCTTCATCAATCTATACCATTTTTGCACAGACTCATATTTTTGAGTTATGAGTCAAACTGTAGGGAGGCCTATAAGAAATTTAACACTTTTTTAAACAAAAATGAAGCACCCTATAGTGCAAGGGAGTCAACGCAGCACAGCGCTAATTAAGACAGCAAAGTGCCAAAGTGCCTGAGGTAAACAGAAATGAACACCTTACCGCATCGAAAAGTGACAGCGATCCTTGGAACGTTGCCTCCTCCGGAGGAAATGCATAAAAGGGAAGTGTTGTCAGGTCTCACTGACCATATCTGCAACTTAACTGGCAATCACCACCGATGCTAACCAGAAGATCCATTATTGTAACAACAATCTCCTCCGATAGCCGTCCAAGGAGAAATCACAGTATCCATCCAGAAATGAATCACACAGTGTTGCAGAACCATTCGCTGCTAAATTAAGCATAACTAATTATGCTTTGCGCCTTAACGCATAATTATATTACTTCTCCACCGCCGAACAAGAAGCCTGCTCTGGTTGGAAAACTCCCTGAAATTCCACCCACGTCCAGCGTTGCTGTTCACCCATAGAACCGGCAACTGTTATTTGCTTTCTGGCCAGATTTTACACTTTCCAACGGACAAACTCTTCCCATGTACCTGGGCCTAGGCTGCCACCGATCATCAAAGGCGTGCCAAGAGTGCGGGCTGAAATGTTTGCTTTTGTCATTGACAGAAGTCTACACACGTCACTGCTTGTAGACTCGCAAAAATCACTGGATAACTTGTTCGGTTGACTGAGCTGGATGGCAAAAGTTTTCCTTCCCCACCGACCGACAGCCGTTGGTCGTTCGAATTTTGTGTTTATTCCCATCCCTTAGAGAAGTCACTGGCTGAAGAAAATCCGAGCGCGTGCGGTAATCATTATTATACCCCACTCAGCCCACCTGGTTGCCCCCCCCCCCCCTTAACGAACAACATTCTGACATAGGGGACAGTTGCAGAGAAGCTGTTTGCCGCTTGAAACTTTAATATTTCGTTTACCTACTTTCCATCTAGCTGTAATCGGCCGTGTTAATGGCTTTCGAGGGGAGCTCTCTTCGCTTCTGCACCTTGATGATGGTGCTAGAGATTGAAGGACAATTATTACCATCTCACGGCCCTACGCCGCACCGACGCGATCGTTTTGCCAATTCATCTGGCGTTTTGAAATCAACCGATTAACGTTTATGGCATTTTTAGTCATTTCTAGATTACTTTTTCAAAGGGACGTACGCAAATTGACAACCCTACCCTTCCTGATGGTGGTGTTAGTCTGCGTGAGAGTGCTAAGAGTTTCGACAAATTGACGTTTGAATCTTGGTTTGTAAAAGCAGATACGTCCCTTTGAAAAAGTATTCGAGATTTGAGGAAATCACGCGAACAAGCCGGTACCGATGACGAATCAGTTTGTTGATTATGCTGCTAATTGGAACCGGTAATTGTTTGCGCAAACGCAATTAGTTCGAATTTAAGGTGCTTCCATTCGAATAGTGTTGGCAGTCAGTGGCGCTGAATTTGTTTTCCCGATGCGAAAACAAACATCATAACCGTCACATGTTTTAGTAGCACCACCTGAATGCTCCAATGACAATGGTCATTGGTTCTTGAACCCTCCGATGTTGACAGTAGTGGCGTTGTTGTCAACGTGATTTTAAGCTAAGACCATGCGTTATTGATGGACCCCACACATACGAATATGGTATATCCAATAGCACGGTCATTATTACTTGTAGTCATCGTGAGTATAACGCACCTCGTTCTTCCAATATCATTGCATGATAAACAATTTTGACGATAAGCTCCAACTCGGATTTGTTTTTAATACCGGCCTTGATTGCAGGATCTGCCACATGTTTGTTAAGGAAGGTGTTGATTAACATCGACGTCGACAACAAAACAGCCCGACATTTAATTCGAGGATTTTTTTTCCTTGATTTGTTTTCCGTCGATCTTGTTTTCCGTACTGAGTACCAATGCCATCGAAGGGGAGAAAGCCGCAAACACTGGCGATATACACCTTCTCTACGATATCTCACGACACCTGAGTGGAGCAAGGATGAACCCGAGGATGCCAGTGAAGGACACGGCTGGACAATTGCTTACCAACCCCACTGACCAGCTGAAACACTGGTTTGAGCACTTCGAACAACTTCTTCAAGTTTCGACGGCCAACCAGCCATCAACATCTCGGCATGATCCGCCTAGGGTGCGGCGCATCACTCGCGTCAATTCCGAGACCCCATCACTGCAGGAGATTGAAGCAGCTATCCGAAGCATGAAATCCAACAAGGCTCCATGGGTCGATCGCATATCAGCAGAGATGCTCAAAGCTGACCCCATGCTATCCGCACAAATGTTGCATCAACTATTCTGTAATATCTGGGACACCGCGACTTTACCGGCCGACTGGATGCAGGGCATCTTAGTGAAGGTCCCAAAGAAGTGGAAATTGACTGTGTGCGACAATTGGCGAGGCATAATGTTACTGTGTATTGTTCTCAAAGTTCTGTGCAAAGTTATCCTGAATCGGATACAGGAGAAGATCGACGCGTCTCTCCGACGGCAACAGGCAGGATTCCGTGCCGGAAGATCTTGTGTGGACCATATTATCACGCTCCGCATCATCCTGGAGCAGGTCAATGAATTCCGAGAGTCGCTTTATTTGGTATTCATTGACTACGAAAAAGCTTTCGAACGTCTCAATCACGAGAATCTGTGGGGCGCCCTGAGACGCAAGGGAGTCCCGGATAAAATCGTCGACCTCATCGAAGCGCAGTATGACGCTTTCACATGCAGAGTTATGCATAACGGAGCCTTGTCCGACCCTATCCGGGTAGTCGCTGGTGTGAGACAAGGATGTATACTATCACCGCTACTGTTTCTCATTGTAATCGACGAGATCATGGTAGGTGCAATTGACCGTGTACCGAACCGTGGGCTGCTTCAGCAGCCTATCACCATGGAGCATCTCAACGACTTCGATTTGGCTGATGATGTTGCTCTACTAGCACAACGGCGCTCTGATATGCAGAGTAAGCTCAATGACCTAGCCGAACGCTCCTCTGCGGCGGGTCTCACCATCAACGTCAACAAGACCAAATCGTTGGATATCAACACGGGCAACCCTTCCAACTTTACGGTAGCGGGGCAAGCAGTGGAGAAGGTCAAAGGTTTCCAATATCTTGGCAGCCAAATAGCGTCAGACGGCGGGACCAAGAGCGACATAGGTATACATGTATACTAGCACCTTGAAGTGAGAAAATTCTGAACTACTGTCCACCAGCCAAAAGACCTTGACCTCCTGAACAACTTTGTCGTAGACAGTAACTTTCTAGCTGATCAGGATCGCGAGATATAGCATATGCGAGAAGTGTACATGTATACTAACGCCACGTGGTGAGAAAATTATTAACTACTGTTTACCAGCCAAAAAGTCTTGACCCCCTAAACAACTTTGCCGAAGACAGCAACTTTCTAGCTGATCAAGATCTCGAGCTATTAAATATACGAGAAAGGCACGTATATACTAGCACCGCATAGTGATAAATTTTTGAACTATTGTCACCCAACAAAAAGATCTTGACTTTTTGAAAAACTTTGCCGAATACATTTACTTTCTATCTGGTCAGGATCTAGAGATATTTTATATGCAAGAGTTTCACACCTATAGTAGCACCGCAAAGTGAGAAAACACTGAACTACTGTCCACTTGCGAAAAAGCCTTGACCTCCTGTACAACTATGCCGAAGACAGTACCTTTATATCTGGGAACTCGAGATATTTTATATGATAATTTCACGTGTATACTAGTGTCACGTAGTGAGCAAATTCTGAACTATTGAGCACCAAGCAATAGGCTCTGACCTCCTGAAAATCTTTGTGAAAAACAGTAACTTTTTATCTGGTCAGGATCTCGAGATATATCACATGCGAGAATTTCTTATGTATACTAGCGCTACGTAGTGAGAAGATTCTGAACTACTGTCCGCCAGCGACAAGACTATGATCTTCTGAAACTTGTCAGAAACAGTAACTTTCTATCTGGTCAGGTTCTCGATATATTCCATGTTGTAATCAATTCAGTCAAATCCCACGTAGTATGGCCACAGTTTTCGCGGATTTCATTTACATTTTCCCTATTATCCGCATTTTTTAGGTGTTAACTGTAATTAAAGTTTAGCTTGTTTCGATCAAAACAAGTTTTTTGAAGAATATTCGTTGGTTTCAGATCGATTGGTAACTCAGCAACAAAATGGCAATGGAAAACTCATGTGTGTTGTACAAAGTACAACAGCGCGAGTAACGTAAGGTTAACCTGCCTTCTGGTTGCCCCCCACAATCACTTATTATGGAAGTTCTGTTAAATTTTAGCCCAAGTGAGTTTTGGTTTCCTGATGCTGCATTCTGATCGCCCACATGAATCATTTATTTTGGAAGTCTCAACAGATTGTCCTCAGGAGGCACTTATTACACTAGTTTACAGCATTTTTGAACTCGGTAAGGTGATGATCATTTCCAATGCAAAATCCTACGCTGAATTCAATGCCGTGGTCAGAAAAAATTAAAGTAGAGCCATTTTTGAGATCTACAAAAATTTTGATTTTTTGAATTTTGGACAAAAGTACGATTACTAAAATGTCAATATCTTTGGAATTAGTGCACCAATTTTATATCTTTTTTTATGAAAATGAAGCTAAATAAATTTGCTATCGTTCACTAGAATTTTATGTCTTATTTAAAAATTTAATTTTGAAGTCATTTAAAAATTTACTACATTTTTTTTTATTTTTCCTGCGAATTTTCCATAAAAATCTTGTTTTAATCAACATTTTGAATGGGATAAAAAGATTCAAAAAATCATTCCATAATTTATTCTTAAAGTCCATTCAAAACCGGAGAAAATGAGCCGGTTGGAAATTGTCGAAGTTATGAGCATTTTTGTAAAACACTTAAAAATGTTGCTGAAATACAACAGCTTTAGAGTTCCTTTTCTAGGTGTCGTTTTAAGCATCCAAATCCCATGTAAAGTTTTCATGGGAGATTCTTTTCTCTACATATCAATTTGATTAAGGCACATCAGGATTTAAAACCGAGTTGATACAAAAGAAATTTATTTAGGTTTTATTAAAAATGATTGAGAATCGAATGACTTTGTCTTCGATGTTTTGAACTTGTTTCTCGAATCAGAAACCAACAATAGTCACCCATCATTGCTTCATCCCAAAACCCTTGGTAACGACGTTCCATCATCTTCATTTGTTGGTGAAAACGTTCGCCGTGCTCATCACTCTCGTCACCAAGATTTTCCGGGAAAAAATCCATGTGAGAATGTAGGAAATGTATCTTCAAAGACATATTCACACCTGTGTTCAGTGAAATAAAAGGATTTGAAATTAATTATATGCAACAAACACAATATTTTTGATTTATACCTATTTTCTCATAATTTTTGAGCAATTCATCGACGGCTTCCTCATAATCTGGGCTTCTGAAATTTCCTAAAAAGGTTGTGACAACACGCTGGAACGATTTCCACGCTTCTTCCTCATCTGGTGTCGAAACTGTATTGAATGCGGAATCATTGAGCAGTTTTTTGATCTGTGGGCCAACAAATACACCTTCCTTTATCTTTGCGTCAGATAAATTTGGAAATACTGATTTCAAGTACTGGAATGCCGGCCCTTCTTTTTGCAACGCTTTGACGAAATTTTTGAATAGCCCAAGTTTTATATGTAGTGGTGGAAGTATTATGCGTTCTTTTACCACAAGAGGATCATTTTTAACGTTGTATTTACCAATTGTGAAATTATCCCGTTTTGGCCAATCTTTTCGGACGTAGTGTTCCTTACGAGCTCGACTGTCCCATTTACACAAAAAACACATATATTTTGTGTATCCCTGTTGCAATCCAGTCAACATGGCAACCACTTTAAGATCGGAACAAATTTTCCAATTGTGTTGATTGTAATTTATCAAATTGAGCAATAGAGCCATTGATTCATACGTTTCCTTCATATTAATAGCATGAGCTAATGGAATAGAAGGTTTCTCATTCCCGTGATGCAGTAAAACGGCTTTCAAGCTCAACTTGCTGCTATCGATGAATAAACGCCATTCAGCTGGATCATATGGCTCACCAAAATCTTTAAACAAGCCGTTTACGTCATGGCAAAAACATGCCTTGTCCTTTGTAGAATAATATTTGTCAAATTTCTTGTGACGATTCCTGTGACAAGAAATTTTGACCTCCTTGCTCAGCATGTTGTGTTCTTTCAAGCGTGATGCCAGCAATTCGGATTTCTCCTTCGATAAGTCGAGATCTCGCACCAAATCATTAAATTCGGATTGTGTAAACAGTTTTGGGTTTCTTTCCACACGCGTAACAAAACTTTTGAGGATCATTTTTACACTTGAATTCACGTTTTGTCGTATACATCGTTAAGCAATGTTAAAGAAAGAAAGCTGTCAAATTGAGTTGGTTGCGTTAGGTTCTCGCCGAGCGGTCTCACAAACACTAGCGTAAATTATATTGTTGAAAATATCCCATTTAATTTTGCGTGACAGCTGGTAGTGTTAGTGAAATGCACCGTATGCGTACACGTCCGCAGAAAGGCTTACTGGAAGTGGTGCATGAACCTAGGAGCGGGACAACGGCCAATCTTGGAACATTCAATTTCCATGATTTTACAAAAAAATTCATAACTTCGACAATTTCCAACCGATTTCATCCATTAAAGGCTCATTTTCTCCAGTTTTTAATGGACTTTAAAAATAAATTATGGAATGATTTTTTGAATCTTTTTATCACATTAAAAATGTTGATTAAAACAAGATTTTTATGGAAAATTTGCAGGAAAAATAAAAATAAAATGTTGTAAATTTTTAAATGACTACAAAATTGAATTTTTAATTAAGACATAATATTCTAGTGCACAGTAGCAACTTTATTTAGCTTCACTTTCATAAAAAAAGATTTAAAATTGGTGCACTAGTTCCAAAGATATTGACATTTTAGTAATCGTACTTTTGTCCAAAATTCAAAAAATCAAAATTTTTGTGTATCTCAAAAATGGCTCTACTTTAATTTTTTCTGACCACGGCATTGAATTCAGCGTAGGATTTTGCATTAGAAACGTTGGTCAACCACTAAAGTTCACACTTTTTATGTTGTTTTGTAAACTAGTGTTATCGAAGTCGTGAGAATTTTCACATCAAGAGACTTTTGGTTTCCTTAACCTGCCTACTGGTCACCTCCAGGAATCACTTATTATTGAAGTCCTGAGTGTTCACCCTAACGCAGTGTTCGGAAAATCACTCTCAAATCTCATTAATTGAGTCTCCCTGCGAGAATAAACACGCGTGCGAATGTGGCAAGCAAAATTCATGCTTGAGATTCTCATGCATATTCACGCACTCACACTCACAACGTTGAAAAATGATTCCAGCTTTAAACTCATAAAAACCACTCAAACGTCAATTGATAGCATGCTTATGCATGTTGTATTAGTTTCTCAGCTCCTGCTGCACAAACAAGACTAATAACAATTTATAGCGCCGATATATAAAGAAATGAATTTTTGAACCTGAAAACTCAGCGGTGATTTTTGCGACGTTCCATTTTGGCTGGCAAAACTCATAGGTGCATAAACTCATGCATGAGATTTGACACACTGACCCTAAGAGACTTTTGGTTTTCTTATGCTGCCTTCTGGTCGCCCTCAGAAATAACTTATTATGGAAGTCCGATGAACTTCCATCCCAAGAGTCTTGGTTTACTAAACCTTCCTTTTGTTCACCCCCAGGAATCACTTATTATGAAAGTCCTACGAATTTTCACCCAAATAGACTTGTAATTTCCCTAACCTGCCTTCTGATCGCCTCCGGAATCACTTATTACTGAAGTTCTGTGACTTTTTACTACAACATATTTTTGATATCCTTAAGCTGGCTTATTATGGAAGTCCTGAGGATGTTCACCCTAATTGGATTTTGGTTTTCTTAACCTGCCTTCTGGTTGCCTTCAGCAATCGCTTATTATGGAAGTCCTGAGAATTTTCACCCCGGTTGATTGTTGGTTTTCTTATGCTGCCTTCTGGTTACCCTCAGGAATAACATATTATGGGAGTCCTATTAATTTCTTTCCCATGTGACTTTTGGTTTCCTGATGCTGTATTCTAAGCGCCCACAGGAATCATTTATTTTGGAAGTTTCCTTAACCCGCCTTCTGGTTGCCCTCAGGAGTCACTTATTATCTAAGTCGTGAGAATTTTCACATCAAGGGACTTTTGGTTTCCTTATGCTGCCATCTGATCGCTCTTAGAAATCATTTATTCTGAAAGTCCTGTCTATTTGCATCCCAATAGTCTTTGGTTTACTTAACCAGCCTTTTGGTCGCTCTCAGGAATCACTTATTATAGGAATCCTGTAAATTTTCACCCCGAGAGACTTTTGGTTTCCTTAATCTGCCTTCTAGTTACCCTTTTAAGTTATTACTTAAGTCCTGATCACCCCCACGAATCACTTATTGTAGAAGTACTGAGTGTTCACCTCAAGAGACTTATGGTTTTCTTAACTTGCCTTCTGGTTACCCTCAGGAATTACTTATTATGGAAGTTCTGCTAATTTTCAGCCCAAGTGACTTTTGGTTTCCTGATGCTGCATTCTGATCGCTCACATGAATCATTTATTTTGGAAATCTCAACAGATTGTCCTCAGGAGGCACTTATTATCGAAGTCGTGAGAATTTTCACATCAAGAGACTTTTGGTTTCCTTAACCTGCCTTCTGGTCACCTCCAGGAATCACTTATTATTGAAGTCCTGAGTGTTCACCCTAAGAGACTTTTGGTTTCCTTACGCTGCCTTCTGGCCGCCCTTAAAAACCACTTATTATGGAAGTCCTATGAATTTTCATCCCAAGAGTCTTGGTTTACTTACCCCTTCCTTTTGTTCACCCCCAGGAATCATTTATTATAAAAGTCCTGTAAATTTTCACCCAAATAGACTTGTGGTTTCCCTAACCTGCCTTCTGATCACCTCCGGAATCACTTATTACTGAAGTCCTGTGACGTTTTACCCCAACATATTTTTGATATCCTTAAGCTGGTTTATTATGGAAGTCCTGAGGATTTTCACCCTAATTGGATTTTGGATTCCTTAACCTGCCTTCTGGTTGCCTTCAGCAATCCCTTATTATAGAAGTCCTGAGAATTTTCACCCCGTTTGATTGTTGGTTTCCTGGTTGTCCTCAGGAGTCACTTATTATCTAAGTCGTGAGAATTTTCACATCAAGGGACTTTTGGTTTCCTTATGCTGCCATCTGATCTCCCTTAGAAATCACTTATTCTGAAAGTCCTGTCCATTTGCATCCCAATAGTCTTTGGTTTACTTAACCAGCCTTTTGGTTGCTCTCAAGAATCACTTATTATAGAAATCCTGTAAATTTTCACACCGAGAGACAATTGGTTTCCTTAATCTGCCTTCTAGTTACCCTTTTAAGTTATTACTTAAGTCCTGATAACCCCCCACGAATCACTTATTATAGAAGTCCTGAGTGTGTTCACCTCAAGACACTTTTGGTTTTTTTTTAGCTCCCTTCTGGTTACCCTCAGGAATCACTTATTATGGAAGTCCTGTTAATTTTCATCCCAAGTGACTTTTGGTTTCCTGATGCTGCATTCTGATCGCCCACATGAATCATTTATTTATTTAAGTCTCAACAGATTTTTAGTTTCCTTAAGCCGCCTTCTGGTTGCCCTCAGGAGGCACTTATAATCGAAGTCGTGAGAATTTTCACATCAAGAGACTTTTGGTTTCCTTAACCTGCCTTCTGGTCACCTCCAGGAATCACTTATTATTGAAGTCTTGAGTGTTCACCCCAACAGACTTTTGGTTTCCTTATGCTGCCATCTGATCGCCCTTGGAAATCACTTATTCTGAAAGTCCTGTCCATTTGCATCCCAATAGTCTTTGATTTACTTAACCAGCCATTTGTTCGCTCTCAGGAATCACTTATTATAGAAATTCTGTAAATTTTCACCCCGAGAGACTTTTGGTTTCCTTAACCTGCCCCCTCAGGAATCACTTATTACTTAAGTCATGACACCCCCCAGGAATCACTCATTATAGAAGTCCTGTAAATTTTCGCTCCATAGGTTATTGGAATTCTGTAAATTTTTACCCCAAGTTGTTTTTTTATCAATTAATACACTATAGATTTGGTTCTTAACTGATTCAAGTCAACTCGGTAGCCAATGCTGACTTAAGTTCTGACCACTCCTAAATGTTTAAAAAAAATGTGTTGTGATTTGTATTGTTTGTTAATCATCTCTTTCTGTGAGTGAGCAGACGAATCAAAAGGCGAAATTGTCCACGCTTCATATTTCAGTTTCAACATTTCAAACGGGCGTAATTGATTATGTAAACAATAGCTTTAATCGTCAATTACTCGCGAATTAATGCTCATAACTCTAAATTAACATTGATAGCTGGTAGAGGAAGAATTTATCTACCTGTTGGTGTTATTATTTTTGAGCATTTATTCGCGAGAAATCGATGGCTAAAGCCATTGTTTACAAAAGCAATGACGCCCCTTTGAAATGCTTACACTGATTTGTATGTGTAGGCTGTATTGTAAATGGTTCATAAAATTGTGTTGCATTACTTTGACTATATATTTAGTATTACTTCTGCGTGAAATCAACGATTTACATAGTTGAAGATGCTAATTTCGAATAACAGACTGAAGTGGTAATTTTTATACGATAGATGAGGAGGAGATGAAAGTATAGAATTGATAGTTCCGTTTAGAGTACGGCAGTGTGAAAATTGCATATAGAGAGTACTCTCTATATACAATTTTCACACTGCCGTACTCTAAACGGAACTATCAATTCTATACTTTCATCTCCTCCTCATCTATCGTATAAAAATAACCACTTCAGTCTGTTATTCAAAATTAGCGTCTTCAACTATGTGTTGCATTGTTATTTTCTAATGATGGGATTTATTTGTAAAACATTTGATGGTCCTAGAGTATTTAAGAGAAGCAATTGTATATATGTTATCAAGTTTACGTTTCACCTCCGACCAAGACAGGAAGTCTCTTGAAGGCAATAAAATAGTACCAATTCAAAGTGTAAAATGTGATTATTCTGATGATGATGAGACGTCCAATATCTAAATTTGCTGATAACCACAAAACACAGCGTAGGGCCACATCCTGGATATTGCAAAATGTTTTACAGTAAAAGATTCAATTTATGTTTTTTTCTTTCAGAAGCACTACGGCTAGAAAATCATCTCGTGAAGGTTGTATACGAAAATAGTCATCCTTGAAAAGATTGCTTGCATGCTACCCGAGCAAAAATGGAGATCAAATTGAAATCAAAATTTGCTGTTATGATGTAACTTATTTTGAATACTCCAGTTGATCTCATTTTGGCTGACTTAACGGTTAACACAGCAAAAATGAGAGCAAACTTTTACACTTTTGAATCAAATGGAAAACTAATCTCGCTTTCAATGAAATCAATTTGATTTCTGATTTTGCATTCATAATGCTTAACTGAATACGGGTCTGGCGTAAATCGTTAGCTTCCATGCTTCTCACGCTGAAAGACTTGAGCTCAAATCTCACCCGGGGCAAGTAACGAATGATCTAAAATATGTTAAACAAAACATAAACAATAATCGTTAGTTCAACGACAGCTGAGCTTAAATTAATATTTTAAACATTAACAGCAGAACATCAAGTTAAGCTGCATTGATTTAAAAAGTCTTGACTGCATAATGAAAGCACAATATGATATCAGACTAATATCGTGATAATTGAAATCAAAATTAGTTTTCATTATGATAGCAACTGCAAACTTTAATATCGATTTGCTTTAATTTTGTTAACCGACTTTGCTCGGGTACAGCCTATTATTACGAATTATTGAAAGAATGACATGGTTCTATAACCAATTAAATTTAGGGACAATTGAAATATTTGTATTATATAAATACTTACACTCACTATCTCCAGGAGTAAGATTTCTGCAAAATAATATCTTCCTCACGATTCCTATTCAGCCGGTAGCAAGTTTATCTCAACCAAAAAATTTCAACCACGAATCCTCTTTTTCCTACTGAATCACTTCAACAGATTTCACCGTTTATCACTGCCGCAAGAAAACAAAAAATAGACTTCCACTTGGTTCCAAAGTCGCACACAACGCACTTGATCCTTTCTGAATCACGTTTTCCACAAAAACACTCAACGATTGTTCTTCTCTGTCTACCCTCCACTCTCTCTCGGATCCACAGTGTAATAGCCTGTCGATTTTCTTATTTTCCCGTATTTGTATCCAATAAAAACTGTTTACTTCCACACAGCTGCTGCTACCCGATGCGCGCAAAATTCCAAAATCCTCCTTCCAGCGAAATAATGCGATTCAAACACCCTCCGTCTCGTAGAAAGTGAAAATGTGAAAACAAACACCAGATGGCGCAATTCGTGATAGGATGCCTAAGCACACTCACAATCACACACATACACACACGCGGTTGAATGTATTAAAAAGGAAATTCTTCCCACGAATTTAATCGACAAAACAGCGGCGCTCGCGACGCTTGCCGCTTCCCGGAGAGCACGTGTCAATGGATCTGGCACAACGTGTGGCTATCGGGATAATTCATTCACTATAAATAAGTAATCTGCAATTTGCTCCGCTGCGAACTTCCAAGTGTAACACTTTTGCAAAATAAAAAATAAAAAACAAATCGCCAGCACCACCTCTCACAACAAACACTGGCAAACACACCGAAGAAAGGGTTGATCCTTTGAGGTGCTGAAGCACACAGCCACTGCGCTTTTTCCAAGAAGGAAGGCTCTTCACCTCTGATGTTGTTTTTTATGTGCTTTTAGTGGATATGCCAATCACTCCTTCGGGGATACTTAAGAACGGAATCGTCACTTCTGGTCCATACACGACAGAACTGCCAAAAAGGGACACTCGGAAGAGAACCGCACACGACCAAGTCTCGACGCGAACTGAACGGCGCTCTGAGCGGAGTAAAGTGTTTTATAACTTTGCGACAGCGGTGCGTGGCGGCGACGACGGGGTGGCAAAGGTAATGACGATGACTGTGGCAGCGGTGGAGCAGAAGCAGCTGTTCGCCGCAACAGTAGTAGTGGCCCCCCAGTAGGGTGGGCGATTGGTTGGTTCTTGGTGAATCAATAATGTGTTTTGTTTTTACTACGATTTTGGTTTGTTAGACAGAGTGCTCAAGAGTTAGGAGCTGAAGTGCTTTTTTCCTGGTAATGCAACTACTCGACGTTTCGAGAGACTTGCTGCGTAAGCATCCGGAAATTTTGAAGAAATTCTTGGGCTGAACACACAATCTCGATTCATGAGAATCTACCACCACTACATATCTTCCGATATGTGTCTTTCTTGCTATACTCCAAACCGTGCTCTCACCAATCGCAGTTCCTCAATTGAATATGATCTGACCATGAAACAAGCAATTCATGGGATTCCCGATCGACTTCGACCTATTATTATCCCACGTATTTTTACTGAAAAGTACCAACGTGTCAATTGCGTGAGCAGATATTTTACAGATGGGTCACGTATCAATCGATCCACTGGCTTCGGTGTTTTCTATGAAAACTCTAGCCTTCCGCGAACTTCAGGAATCTTTTTCCGTTTATGCTGCTGAGCTGGTAGCAATCAACTTCGCATTGCGGATGATTACCAACATTACCTTTGTATGAGTCCCCTTATATTGCTCAATCCCAAGCAATCAGAAGGCGGACTCTCTCCCAAAGGTGGGCGCGCAGGAAGGCCAATTTTATGAAGGCAAATTTCACACGATGAATTTTACCGTTTAGTGCGTCAGAGTACACTTTCGAGTTGGCAAACCGATTGGGACAATGGAAATCTTGGACGGTGGTTACATTTAATTGTTCCTAATGTGTCTTCGAGGGCGTGGTTTAAAGGCTTGGGCTTAAGTCGTGACTTCATTCGCTTGATGAGTAGACTTATGTCCAACTACTACTCGCTAGATGCTCATCTCAATAGAATAAACCTCGTGGACAGCAACATCTGTCGGTGTGGAAACGGTAACGATGACATCGATCACACAGTTTGGCAATGTACGGATAATGACGCCGCCAGAGAGAGACTTTTGAATACCCTCGAGGCCCAAGGAAGACAATCGTTTATCTCTATCAGAGACGTGTTGGCAACGCGCGATCTCTGCTATATGCAGTCAATTTATGTTTTCCTGCAAATGTCTAGTATAAGAATTTAATTCCTTTGTCTTTTGTCTCTCTTAATTAGTTTTTAATTGTCTTGTCCTCCGTCTCGATGAGTCTCATCGTCACCCACTGGTCACCATAGCCGGTCGAACTCCAGACGAATCTAGAACCACACTACCGTTCATACTGGCGACATCGCTCTGATGATATAACGAAACCCTACCCCCAAGCTCCTTCCCTGACCCTATCCTTCGACAATGTACCCCTCTAACCTCGGGTAAGCCGCGTGTATTCGGCTCAACCCCTACTAGACATAGAATTAAGTGAATTTTGTTATAAACAATGAATAATGAATTATCGGCTCGGTAAAGCTAACACGATTGAGCCTTCCAAATAAACGAACCAGTTAAAAAAATTAAACTTTTTCAATTTAGCAATCAAGCCTTCATGCCAAACACTGTCGAATATTTTTTCTATTTCTAGAAGAGCAACTCCAGTTGAGCAGCATTCAGATTTTTTTGAACGAACTAAATTGGTAACTCTTAAGAGTTGATGAGTAGTTTAATGCCCATGACGAAATCCAAACTGCTCATCTGAAAAAATTGAGTTCGTATTCATGTGAAGGATTATTCTATTCAAAATTATCTTTTCAAAAAGTTTACTTATTGAAGAAAGCATTCCCTGGAGTTTTCATATTATGAAACTTTTTAGTTATAGATCTTACTTCGTCCAAATCAGTCCCAAAGGAATCATCAAAAATATTTTCCCGAGAGAAAATATTCAGATAACATCGAGCAGCCTGATTCACAATAGGATTAGTAAGACCCAAACTGAAATTATGGGAACACTCAAATTGCTTAGCAATTTTCTGAATTTTTCTGAATTTGTGATTCAAATTTCACTACCTGTTTTATTAAACTTTATTAATGAGATTTTTAGCCAATAGCTAGTTCATTTCCAAATAAAAAGAAGGCCTCAAAAGGAGAACCCCCAACTACAGAGCTAGGCATTTATAAACCTGGCTCTTCGTAGTACAGCCATTCAATATCTACACTTTTCTACAAACTAATACGCTACAATACAGAATATTAAATATGCAAGATGGCCTCCTTTAAAAAATCTAATAGAGCTGCAGATGCAGGAGTTTTGTCCCCGAGCAGGTCCAGGGTGCTCGATTTCAGGCCGTAGGATTCCCTAAGGTTCTGAAATTTCAAATGGCTGCACAGAATGTGTTCCACTGATGTTGGCAAGTCGCATATGACGCAGATTTTTCAGAAGGGAACCCCTCCGAAATTGTCATACATTTTTGAATTCCCGGTTGATAAAACTTGCTGCTCTCGCAGATTCCCGGAGTCTGTCCATGTTCTGGTTGTGCCTTTGATTTCGCGTATGAACAACGTTCTGTTGCAGAACCACTCAGCATCCCATGCCGCTCGGGTGGTCTGCTTGATCAACACAGAACAAAATTCTGAATTTTAACAATCGCGTAAAATCTCCCTTCGTTTAATTTTGAGCTATACTTGACATAAACAGCGAAATCGTTTACAAGCTAGCTTACAATATTACTATTGAATGCGAAATTGCGTAGAACGCGAAATATCGCGTAAATTTATTCCACATCTAGCGTTAATTTTATGTGCGCTATATCTCGTAGTAACTTGCATGAATTTTTCAAACGGTGTAGTACTGGACGTCCTGCAGTGGTACTTGTTTTGCGAACCTGGGATTCGATGGTCCGGATCCAGCCAGATGATCAGCGGCTTCGTTTTCTGGTATACCGCAATGTCCAGGAATCCAATGTCCAGAAGGCCACGATAAAACAAGCCCCACCGTTCTGGGTGGGGCTTGTTTTATCGTGGCCTAAATCAAAGGGTGCACCGGTGCTTCGGATGTGGTGGCGTTGAAAACCGCGGCGGCTTCGGCGGAGAAAACTGAGCATTGTGGTGGAAGGCTGTTGATGATAATGATGCCCTCTCCAGATATCCCGTTGCCGACACCTTCCCTGGATCGTGATCCGTCCGTGTAACGATGTGTATAGTTACCGTTCAGCTACCGATCTACGTCATACTGTTGGCTCCTGCCCTGAAACGGTCCTTAATCCGGCTGTCTGTTGAGAAGAGCCAACTTTTTTCTCTGTGCCAATGGACTTTGGCCACTCGGGGCAGGTCGACGTCGGCGGCCGTGCGAAGGACTCTGTTCCCCTCGTCAAGGAGAGAGATCCTTACGTTATTGGATGGTTTAACAGAGAAGGCAGCGGCTTTAGTGGCAATGACTGCGTTAAGACGATGCCGGAAAAGAAGAATTCCAGCCGCCACACACGCAGCATCACCTGGTGTAGAGGGCAGGATATCAGACACCGTTCTTATAAATATAGGTGTTGTAGACCGGAGCTTGAACTTCTAAGAGCTTCTCGTATGCGATGCAGGTAAGTTCAGTTCTGTAAAAGAGCCTACTAAGATGGTCCTGATGAGGTTACCTCTGCTGCGACATTCCTTCTTCACTTGCTGAAAGGACAAAGGATAGTGTGTGGTCTATAGTCACTCCCAGCACACGGACGGTTTTATTGGTTGGTACTGTCTGACCGTGAACCGTGATCGGAGTACCGCTGACACGGTGGAGAGCCGAACAGACGTGACATTTGACGGATTTTCTAGCTGGTATCCTAACACCAACCGAGTTGATCCATTGGCGACGGCGGATGTCGCCGCTTGTGCCCGAAGCTTAGTTCGAACTACGGTTGGTCCCGTAGCTACTATCAATACATCGTCGGCGTAGATGAACATGCGTAAATATGTTCCCGGGTAAGCAGTCGAAGATACCATTCATCGCAATCAGGAATAGGGTTACCGCAAAAACCGATCCCTGTGGAACACCTGTTTCCTCTCGAAAGCTCCTGGACATCGGTCAGAAAGTTTCGGACAAACTGCATTACTAGGGTGGGGCAAATTTTTCAAAATCGTCCGGGGACATGATTTTTTGGGACTAATTAAATAACATATAAAAATTTAGCTTTTTTCGTTGACATTTAGAAGACTGGGACTAAGTCCAAAATTCCGAACGATTATCTTTTTCAAATATGGCACACCGATGCTCCCACATGTGGACTAACCATTGCATATTGGTCTATCACAATCAGCATTCTTGCAGTGCTTTATGCAACGTGAGTAAATATGAAAATAATGTAAATATGGGGGTGGAGGTGAACCAGCCCCAGGCTGAAAGCTTCCCTAATAAAGATAAATCAATCAATCAATCAATCAATCAATAATGTAAATAGCGAATAAAGAGAAAAAGAGATTGAAAACAAGAAAAACTACACGGAGAAAAAATATTACCCAAAATTTTAGTTCTTTTTACTTCATTTTGAGTTGAGTCTCTCACTTGCACTCGTTATTGTTGTCAAAAAAGGAATGAGTGATTCGACCCAACGATATAGTTCAATCCATTAAGTTACTTTTGAGTAAATTGCATATTATAAAATTTACGTGAATTAAACTTAATTTTGGGAAGAATACACTTAATATTAAGTATTTTTATGGTGTTAAATGGAAACTACTATATGAAATTTACTCAAATTTGGGTTACTGTGCTGAACCCGGGAATTGAGGGAAAAGTACTTAATTTTGGGTTGTTTTTCATCTCTGTGTAGGGGAAAAGGTAAACTCTGGAGCAACAATAGAAAAGTACCCATGAGCATTTGCACAAACCGCTCTAAAGCCCTTTCCTCACAAATCGAAGGCCACCCACACAAACAAATAGCATAATCGTGTATGGGGAAACTTAACTCTACCATATTATGCTGTTGAACTGCGTGAGCAGCTTTCTATTTGTGAGGAAAGAGCTTTTGATTTGTTTGTTTACAAATTCTGGTGGGCCCCTTTTCTATTGTTGCTCCAGAAACATCTCTTTATAGATATTCAAGCGAACAATGAGTTTGAAAAGGATTTCGAGTTATGGTAGTACCTAAATATGCATGAGAAATGTGGTTGAAGCAGTCTGGATACCCTCTGGAGGAGAAGGAGGGTTGACTGTATTTCAAGAACAACATGTGAAAAGGGCATACAAGCTTTTTGTAAACAAACCTTGTTATGCCCTTCTCTCGCCACCCATATGACACCAACCCAAATCATCAACTTTAGCGGGTAGGGGAAGCATTCCTCTTCCCGATGATATTGTTGGTTTGCGTGGGCGGCCCTCGGTTGGCGAGAAAAGAGCTTACAAAGGTTTGTTTACAAAAAGCGTGTATGCCCTTTTCATATGTGGCTCTTGATTTGAAATGTGATCTGATTACAACGTTATGTATTAGGATTAATTATCAACCATTGTTATTTTGTTCATGTTGGGACGGTTTTGTAAATGAAGATTTAAATTTACACAAGGTTTTGGCAATTATTCTTGTTTCGACTTATGCTTTCATTGCCGTTTTGAATCATCATGATATATCTTTTATCGTGATTATTTAGGACCTCCAAATTAATTATTTACTATGTTGCTTCCATGCTAATAGGGTTGACCCAGGAAAATTCAGAAGCACCAGGAAAACTGCAATTTATACCACGTTTATAAAAAATATCTGTTTTGCGGTGCTCATCTCTGAGTGATGCAACCCGCTTTCTGCCTGTTTACTAGAACCAAGTCGAAACGGCTGTTTTCATATAAGCTTCCATACAAAAAACGCTTCGTTCCGACATCCCTAATAAGTTTTAAAGGAAGGTGACTTTGTCGTTCCATATCGTTAAGATTTCCATTAATAATGGCAAGACCAATTATTACTTCACCGAGATACCACATGTGGGCCGTTTGCCTACCTAAAGAGTTAAAACAAAAAATCTGGAGACCTCCAGATAACCGCGTTCACACGCCTAGACTAATGATGGTAACATAAGTCAAAACAAAAATAATTATCAATACAATGTGGTAAATGTATAAATTAATAAACCAAACTTTATAACTGTTTTTCAGCCTAAAGGTTGGTTCGCCACTGGGAGATGCGAATTACTTGACTTGCGCCAATCCATATTTTATATTTACGAAACATTAAATTTTATAGAAAAGTTTGGTTTCTTTAAGATTATTATAAGTTTAGATTCGTTAGCTGGATTTTGCAGGATACTTCGGATGTTTGTATCTAGGTCCAGGTTCGTTCGTACAGTTTCAAACTGCGGACAATTTATTAGTAGATGTTCCACCGTTAGAGGAACCTGACAGAACTGACATATTGGTTGAGGAAAGGATGATAGGTAGTGGTGATGACTTTAATAACTTGATGAAAAAACAATTGTGGAAAAGTAGTCTTGAGCAGGGTTGTTAATTAATAACTATCGATAACATCTGCATTAACATCTGAAATGCAAATTCACCACTGCAGACGTAAATACTAACGTTATCTACGGTTATCGATTAACAACCCTATTCATGAGCAGCTACTTTAATAATTCTATAAATCCTTACGTTGAAATCAGATCACATTTCAAATACAGTCAAGTCTCATTCTCTTTAAGACGATATTCTCCCTAACTTGGTGGAAATCCAACCAAGTTTAACCACATTTCCCATGAGAAATTGCAAAACTGCGGTTCTAAATTTATTTCTATTTCAAAATTATTTCGTAACTCTTTGTTCGCAAATATCTATTTAGAATGAGTTTACTCAAATAAGGCATACCTTTATTTCCCTCTATTGATTTCTCCCTCTTTTTCTTTCCCTCTCATTCTCTCTCATTCTCATATTTACTCACGCTGCATTTATAACCGCCGCCTCTAAGAACACGGCCATGCGTAGTACCTACTTCCCGCATAATATCGGTACACCTGGAGATCACCGCAGCAGACAGAATCGCAAATCGACCACATTTTGATCGACGGAAGGCACTTCTCGGACATTTTCGACGTCAGGACCTATCGCGGTGCAAACATCGATTCGAACCACTACGTTCTAATGGTTAAGGTGCGACAAAAATGTTCCGCTGCCAACAACAATCTGGAGCGACTGAAGCTGCCCGAAGTCGCAACTGATTACGCGCAATGCCAGATGCCGGATGAAGGAGAGCTAACTGAAGCCCCTCTTGAGGACTGCTGGAACAACGTGAAAGCAGCCATTAACGGCGCTTCTGAAGGTGCCATTGGGTTTGTGGAGTGTCAGACGGTTTTGGACGAGAAAAACGCAGCACGGGCGAGGATGCTGCACCAAGGAACTCGTCAAAATGTGGAGTGATACAAGCGAAGACAGCAAAACCATCCTTTTCGGGATAAGAAGCGCCGCCTGGAAGAGCTGGAGTGCGAAGAAATGCAGCAGCTGTATCGTTCTCACGAAACGCGTAAGTTCTACGAGAAACTCAAGGCATCCCGCGAGCCGAAATATGTCGGGATAAGTAAGGGGGTATCTTGACGGACGAACGTGAGGTGATTGAAAGGTGGAAGCAGCACTACGATGAACATCTGAATGGCGCAGAGCAGCAGGAGGAATGGTTTCGTCGGTACAGCAGATGAGGGAGACATGCCAGCTCCCACGATAGGTGAAGTTAAGGATGCTATTCGACAGCTTAAGAACAACAAAGCAGCTGGTAAAGATGGTATCGGAGAGAACTTATTAAAAAGGGCCCGGATAAGTTGGCCACTTGTCTGTACCGAGTGATAGTCAGGATCTGGGATACAGAACAGCTACCGAAGAAGTGGAAGGAGTCATATGCCCACTATATAAAAAGGCGACAAGCTAGAATGTGAAAACTATCGAGCAATCACTATTCTCAACGAGGCCTACAAAATGCTTCCCAAGTTCTTTCGCCGTATATCGTCACTATTTAGCAAGCAAATTTGTGGGAAGTTATCAAGTCGGTTTTGTGGACGGGCGATCAACAACGGACCAAATCTTCACCTTGCGGCAGATCCTCCAAAAGTGTCGTGAATATCAAGTTCCAACACACTACCCATTAGACTGATGCAAATTTTGACATTTTCGCTCCACAGTGCTCATACGGTTCCACATCGGGTCCTGATTAGTCTCCCAAAATTTGAACTCATTTTCAAAGAAACTGACTTGGCACTGTAACCGTTCGTGAAATTTCGCTGAGGTTTTGATTTAACTCAGTGGCTTAAGCGCCACTCTCTATTAAGAAAGACCACTGGTCGTGTTAAAGCTTTGCCCGACAAATGAGACTTTTCTCTCAGAGGACCTCTTGAACGGTCGTTGGTTACTAACGGCAATGAAAAAAACTATTAACTTTCTGGAAATGCCAAGTCCTTCAGTAATACAGGAATGGAGCGCATGGACCAAATAAATAAACCAAGGTATTACTCTGACTCACCCCCGAAACGAAACGGAAAGAGAACGAAGGAATGCTGACTCAACTGAGCGGAAACGAAAGAAAACAGAACGTAACGTAGTAAGTGTGTTTTATTCAGGGAGTAGCATTCAAAACGTTCGAAAAACTAATCTTCAACTTTTCCTTTAAACTATATTCTAGCATTCATTCGCATTGGATTTCTGAGAGGGGTTTACGGGAAAGAGCAAATCATGGCCATGAATTAAACATGCTCTCACATACCTGCGCAGGTTTTACTTGACGAAACGATGAATCGATGACTGCTGACCGATGAGGGCTCGATGACTCGATGATGGCGGTGTAGCGATGGCGGCGTAAACGTGATGGTGCCGCTCACGTGCTGCAGTATGGCGCGCAGCAACGGAAGGTGACTCGTACGCGGTATGGCCGAATTAGAGTTGCGGAGGGAGTGGCGGCTGGACGGAAGACTTCCGATTTGGCAATCGAGAGCTGAGCTACGACGAGAAGTCGTGGTGTCCCGGGAGATTCGCTCCGCAAAGAGAAGAGGCCAACTTACCTTCGGACGGCTTCGCGTACTTTGTTTCCGCTATGACCATCCGTGATGGAATGAACCCCCTCTCCCGTTGGATTGAATCCGGACCGCGGCACGCTTTTGGCGACGCTCTCACACGGTCCGAGCTCTCGGAAATAATGGTCCACGGGGTTGTAGTAGAAGGGACCTCGTCGACGGATGATTGGCGACCGTCGAAAGATATTTCGCTTCGAAGATTAGCGAACTTCACCCACCTCCGTTTAGCTACCTTCGAAAAGGCGGGCCTTAGCAGGGCGCACGAGTCACGGGAAATGTCCGTCTCTCACGAACGATGATGGCGATGCCACAGATGGAACCCCCGATCCGGCGTTGACGATAGCCGAACGGAACGTATATCCAGCCCGTACAAAAAAAGCGCAACGCGCTGGAAATCCAACGCGAACTCACATTACTCATACAATTCTAAATTTTAACAAAATTCAATAAATTACCTTTTTTGTACAATATCACAAATAAACGCACTGAACAGACTACGCGGAACTTAATACGGACTTATGTCCACTGTACAAAAAGAAAGAAAACGTTTAAAAAACCACTGGTTGATAAAAACTCACTCACTACTATTTAGTACCTTTAGAGAAACTTATCGCACAAAATCAATTTGATTTAATATAAGTCGAGAACGTAAAGTAATTCGCGCACTTCTGTTATCCAGCCGATTCGAAAGCGAAATGGATGAGTCAGAATAATTTTGCGAGCAGGAAAATTCCTAACGACCTTTTCCTATTCAGATAGGTCATCTTTTAAAAACTCTCTCTTTATTCGAGAGTTGCGCCAAACCTTTCGAATGGCGACGGACTTCATGGCGCCTCCAGAAATCATGTACAATATAATACAGCTCACTATAAGTTGAGCTTTTATGGCGAAGTTGTAGCCTAGACACAGTAAATATGGCAAAGTTGTTAAATCGACACAGTAATGGTCTGATTTTATTTACACGGTTGAAATATTTCATTTCTTAGCAAACTTGACATAAAAAGGATTTAATTGTTAATTAAATTAGATTTCAACGAAAAACTATTTACAAATAAACGTAAAACGTTACATCACACCACCCAGTTTTATGAAAATTTGATCAAGGTAATTGATCAAATTTTCATAACTTAAAAAAAAAATACACTATAAACGCAAACGTTGTCAACAGTTCTTTCATTCAGGTAAGTCGCACATAAACAGCCAAATTTAAAGCAACATAAACTACAATCACTTGTTCATCAACGTATCGAATTCTGTTCAATAATAAACCTAAATAAATAACTGAACAACAAATCATGATCAAAACAACGGAACATTCTCCGTCCTAAATTTGATCGTCAACGGAAACCGCAATCAAATGCAACATCAAAACATTATTTGACCCAATCTGCATTTAAATTGCTCAAACGGACTCCTCTATTCAACGATAATCGAAATTCTACTCATCAAATTCAAATTTGACAAACTCATAGAATTCGAACTACGAAAATATCGAACAGACCTATAACATCGCATGAACAACTGACAGCATACGCGATCTGTCACCCGAGCTACCAACCTACCCGAAACAAAAATTACCGTTTTGACAAACGTCATCGCGAAGCCAACGGGAGCAAACGTGTGCACAAATTCAATGGTGGAATGTACGCAAATTTATCGAACGGACGGCGATCTTCATCAAATTTAACCGGATTGCATCGAAAACCGGGGGAGTATTTTTACCTATTTTATTAATATTACGGATTTAACTGGTTTTTGTTCTTCTATTTACAGGTACTGGACATCGCAGATGGCAACGCCCCTGAATTGGAATCGGTTTGGATCGGAATAATGGATGCAAAATTTAACAAAAGGACTACAAAAGAAACTGAACTACAATGATATAAAATGGAGCTATTGTGGACTGCTGAATACGGACTGATATACGGAATGATACTATGCTTAATATGGATATGGATACTATTGCTTAATATGGACTATGAATTAATGATGCTACTGGATATTGATGATTTTACCACTAAGAATCATAAAGGAAGTTGGATGAATTTTATGGTGAGCGATTCTATTCTAATTATTTACAATTTTATTTTAATTAACTAACGAAGATTTTAAGTAGCTTTTTCCAATTTTTGTTACGATGAAAGTCGCTAAGGCTAGGCTATTTACAATGTATTTATTTTACTAACACTAGCATAATATAAACCCTTTTTTTTACCATCATTGCTGGGGGATTTTCCTGATGTGTTTTCTTACTTTTCTGGTACATTTCCTTCATTTTGGCTCATGTCATAGCTGTAACACAAAAACTTAAAATCTCTTCAAAAAATTTGCGTGGAATATTCCTAAATTGTTGTCTTCTTTGTTCACTAGTTCGTAACTGTCTCCTAAGGTTCTTTTTACATATGCTTCTGTGTATTTTGGTGCTAGTTTAGCACAGTAGTCCTTCGATTTGTCTGATTGGATTGTACACTTCTTCAAAACCTTCTCTCCTACCTGATAAGTCGGTGCTTTCTTATTGGAACGCAAATTATAGTATGTAGCTTGTTTTTGATAAGCTTCTGCAAGGTTTTTTCTTACTTCTTGATATAATTTCTCCCGTTCTCCGTTGGTCAGGATATCAGTAGATGATGAGTTTGTGTTCCTGATCCTCTCGTATTCGATCCCATTTGAGACCATCTCTCGACCGAACAAGAGGAAATAAGGTGAGAATTTTGTTGATTCATACACTGAATTTCTAATCGCACATGCGATTTGTTGTAATTTATCGGTCCATTGTTTGTGGTTCCCCTTCAAGGTAGCTCTTATCGCTGTTGTCACCACCTTGTTTACCCTTTCAGTATTGTTTACTTGTGGGTGGTACGAAGGTGTTAACCAGTGCTTTACTCCGTACTGTTTCAGTAGTGCTGCAAACTCTTTGGATGTAAATTGTGAACCGTTATCGGTTACCATCATCTCCGGTACTCCAAACAAAAGAAATATGGCTTGTTCTAGAAATTGAACTAGTGCTGAAGCAGTGGCCTGTCTAAATGGTTGGACCAAGATGAATTTTGAGAAAACATCTGTAACCACCAGAAGACATGTGTATTTTCCTTTTCCTGATGAAGGAAATGGGCCAACATAATCTAATGTTAAAAACTGCCACGGAAAATCACAGTACTTTTTCTGCGATCCCATTGATGGAGTTGGGTTGATATTGATTCCTTTTGACGTTTTGCAAGCCAAACAAGTTTTGCAGTACTTTTTAACTTCTGAGGCCATTTTCGGCCAAAAGTACTTCTCTTTTAGTGCATTAAGGGTTTTATCGTACCCAAGGTGAGCTGAATCGTGTACAGATTGTATCAAAGGAAGCCTCTCTACCTCAGG